GTAGAACTGCTGAGTGAGGAAGGTTGGCAAGGTGTATGGACATGCCCCTCCACCAACCTTCAAGGACTGGAAGCTGGGGCCCAGACATTCAGGTCAGTGGGTGCCATGATGGCCGGGCCTGGCTTCCAGACACGATGAGTAGCTAACTGATTGTCAGAGTCCAAGGCTTCACTCAGGGCTGCTGCCCTCTGCCTTCAGGGCTGGGGACCCCCCACCCCACCCAAGCCAGACAAGAGCCTCTGGGCCACTCCACCTGCCAGACTCTCCAGGGCCCAGGTCCAGCAAGGCTATCCTCCCGTCAACCCCACTGAGCACCTACCTCCCCTTCACCTCTGGTAGGCCCCTCACCTCCAAGCCCCCATAGGGCTTCATTCTCCCGCCGTCGTGAGTCTAGCTCGCAGGAGGAGGAGCTCATCGACGGCTTCGCCATCGCCAGCTTCAGCACCCTGGAGGCCTTGGAGGTAGGTGGGCGGGGGTCCCGGACCCCTGTGGCTCCCAGACGCCGGCCCTCCCCCTCGGCCGCACCTGCAGGCCCTGCAGCGTGGGGGTTGGCGTTCTCTGCCTCGGTATCACACTCCTAACGGGGGCTGTGGCCCGGCAGCCAGTGCGTTTTGCAATTATGTTTCTGTTGTCAAACTGTTGCTGCATTCTTCTCAAGAAGTGCCTGGGAGGGAGGCGGGCAGGGCCTGTGCCGGAGGCGAGGTGAAATGGATACCTTGGGATTCTCCCAAGCCTGGTGTTTGGAGGAGGAGAGGGGACCACCCCCGTCCCCACCCCCTGTGCCTGCTGCGTGGGTAGGAAGTTGGCAGAAAATATTGCTTGCTTAGCTAAGTTATCTGGGCAATATTTGCTGAGCAAATATTGCTCGTCTTGCCTTGGTGCAGGTGAGCAGGAGAAGATGGAAGGCTGTCAGTTGCAGGGATGGGCGGGCTTTGCCCCTGGCTTGGCGAGGTTGGGGGAGGGGGCAGTGTTATTCCTTGGGATCTGGTGTAGTTGGGGGCTGTCTCTTTTTAAAGTAGCATAGTTGGGGGCTGGCTTTGTTGGGGGACTGACATTGTAGGGGGACTGCTAGACCTGGCATGTTTGGGGACTCTCTAAATCTATGTAGTTAGAGGCTGCACCCCTAGACCTGGAAGGACAGGATTGAAGATCTCCACCCCAGGCTGTGCCTTCCGGAGGCTGACTGTAGGGACCTGCCTCCACCCAATCTGGGCCCTGGCACTTTTGGTGGGTATGGGGCAGTGCAGCTCCTTGAGGTGGCTGCTCTGCGGCCAAGCTGCAAGGTTTCAGAGCGTGTCTGTGCCTGCCCCCCTCTGCGTACCTTGGTGGCAGTTGGAAGGTGTGGGGGGTCTGCCTGGCTTGTGCCATGACATTGTCCAACACTCACTATGGCCTCCCCACCTGACTCCTCCAGATGGGCAGCATCCTGCTGGGTGGCCACTGCTATCTCCTCCAGGCCCACAAGTTCCAACAGTCCCCATCTTCTCTTCTGTTTCTCCTTGAGGACTCATGGCCTCTGAGGGATTGGGATTAGTTGTCCTGACCCCAGTGGGTGCTAGAGGGAGGAAGGAGTGAGCAGAAGAGAAACCAAGGCAAAGTTTTGTGTCCATGGTGGCCTGTGTCAGGGGTGTGGCACCAGCAGCATCTCTGTCAGAAGCAGTGTTTCAGGGTGAGGCCCATCAAGTGGGCCGGTTCTGAGCCAGGCACTGCCTCTTCCCCACCCCCACCCCCAAGGTTTCTGAGCAGGTTCCTCAGGCAAGGTCAGGTGAGCACCCTCTTCTTAGCCTCTTTTGTCCCCAGAACATGGTGTCCCCCAAAGCTGAGACACCTCGTGACCATCTAGCTCACTTAGCTGGTGTTGGTGAGCATGTGCCTACGCGAGGAGGGCCCAAGGGGTAGCAGGCCGGTGTCCCTGCTCTTCATGGCCAGGGCTGGCAGCCACTCTGAAGGTATAAAAACTTGGCCTTGGGGACTGGATGCCTGGGGCCTGTGCCCTCCCCACCACCAAGACTAACCAAATCCATAACCTGGACCTGGCCTCTAGGAAGCAGAGGGGCACCGGCCCGACCCCTGTGCCCTGGTGGCTGTGTCCACGTGGCAGGCCTTGCCCAGCCAAGACACCTGCTCCTAGAAGTCCCCGGGCCCAGCTGCTGGAAGGGGCTTTCCTGGGTAGCCCCAGCTAAGTGCCCAGAGTTTTAAAAGCCACCAATACAGTTGCCAGCAGTTAAGACTTTAAAGCACCCTGCCTCTGTTAGCCTAGCAGGATGGGGAGGTGTTTCTCCAGGGTTCTGCTGGAACAGGGACCATTGCCCCGGGAGCAGCAGCCAGGGGAACAAGGCTGCACTCAGCCGCCTGAGGCCATGAGTCTGTGGAAGGTCCCTGCAGCTGACCCCTGCTCGTGCACACACACCCCACACATACACCCAATTCTTTCCCCAGCAGTACAACCGCTGGGCACTTCTCGAGCTACAGGTCGGCCTATATGCGGTGCTGGG